CCAGCTTCTCCTCGGATCCCCGCTGCTCTCCCCCACCTGAATGGGCAGAGAACTCTGTGTCCTCAATCTCTTTTTTTTATTTCAAAAGAGAAATGTCAGGGATCTGTTTAGACCCCCAATATTTCCCTGAAGTCCCCCCAAAGTGTAAAAAAAAATAATAATAAAAAAAAAAAAATTATAATAAAAAAGAAATTAAAAAAGAAAGGCTCTGTGGTATGGAGCAGGTGCCTCACTTGCTTTTCGGAGTCCTGGTTATGCTATGCTCTGTGCATTGCACAGAGCAGACTGTAGACAGGCAAAATGTACAGAAAGCAATTTGAACTAAGCAGTATCCATCTTTTTACATTATATAGTTTAAAGCTGAATTCCAGGCAGATCTAAAATCACAAATGAATGTAATCATTTAAAGATTATTAAATGTAATTTTAAAATGGAAGCAGCATAAGTACCTATGTTTAATCTGTATCTGCCTCCTGCAGACCCCCAGCACTGTCCTCAGATTAGTTTAAAGCTGATATCCAGCCAGATATAAAATCACAAATTAATGTATTAATTAATACATCAACATCATTATATATAATTTTTAAATGGCAGCAGTATAAGAACCTCTATTTGATCCGTATCGGCCTCTTGCAATTCCCTGTACTGTCCTGAGAATGGGAGCGAGAATAGCAGCACACGGAGCCAATTAGCTGTACTGCAGTACAAGGAACATGCTGATAGTGACGAGGAGTATTCAGTGTGCTGCTTCTCTTTTCACTGTCCAGGCACAGGCAAGGAGGAGGGACAGGTCCAGTAAGCGTTACTGAACTGCAGCAGAGAAAAATCAAGCTTGTGTTGTGTAAATAGCAGGGGTGGATGGACAGAAATGCAAATCCTTTGTTGGGTAAAGTAGCTCCCATGTATGTACTTCATTTGGAGTTCTTCGTTATACATTACTGTCACAATATTATATAAGGTGTGCCCATTGCAGTTTACAGTATCTGTACATGATGACTTTCCAGTGGGGGAACTATATATACTGAGGTGTTCTGTGGCTTGAAGTGCTTTAGCCTCTAGCTGGGAGTTGTCTTATTTGCTGTCAGTGTTCATCACAGAGTGGTCTCCAACAACAGGTTAGTTTGTTTAATGGTACAAGAATCAAATCCTCAGTATAGTTTAGTCCTAACATCTCCATAGATTGTGCTGGATTATAATATTTCCTGATGGTTTGCCACAGGAACACACAAGGCTGTAGCAGAAATCCTCTGTCCTGCATATACACATACTAGGATCCCTGATAGGAGCCATTTGTGTCACTGATTAAATGTTTATTTTGCATCTATTAATGTGACACGGAAAACATGTCTAGTTTGACTGAGGCAGCACAAACCGAGGTGGATATGAAGCCTTTTTCTGTTTCGTGAATAGATTTCAAAACATGTTTCAACATACTTGGCTGTGAAGCATGTAGCAAGTCGCCCTAATTAACCTTTGGATCTGTTGTGTCTTGTCTCTTATAGGAAACGCCAAATGGCGGCTAGACATCCAGCATGTAATTATCCTATATGAGGATTAAAGATTTGCAGGAAAACCCTTTTATTAAACCTTGCAGTGGGGCTACACTGTACGGGTTACGTGCTCGTTTGTGTCTAGGGACAAAAATTAACAAATATATACTCAGACGAAGCTCCGAGCTGGTCAGCTGTCACAACACTCCCTCCAGTCTGTCTCCTCCTGCGCAGCATATTAAAACCATCCTCACTTCTATACAGTGTGTATAGACGTGATGATTTACGGGACCTTAGACTGCTGCAGAGGAGGGGTAGAGACACTGGAAGGACCGGTCTAAGAGCAAGCTGGCTTGGAGGTTCGGGTGAGTGTATATATATATATTTTTTTTTTTAACCTAGAGACAAATGAGCATCTAACCTTTGCAGAGCCCCAAGGCAAGGGTTAATAAAACATTCCTGGAGTTCTTCTTTAAAGCAGGATTTTAGGCATAAAAGTTAAATACACAATTAAAATACAGAACTGTCTTACCTGCCAAAATAATGCTGGAAAGCTGTTCAGCCACTCTTATGATCCAGACACCCCAGCCAAACAACATAGCTGGGTCTGTGACCTCAGTTTTCCCCAAAGCAGTTAAATCAGAACTCCTGCCAAACAGCAAAATACACAGATGAAATACATAAATGAGAACTGTATTTCTGTTCATCCAGTGCTGGGATTTCCACAGCTCTGCCCCCTCAGCATAGCCCTCACTGGCAGGGGAGGGGGCCTGATCTTTCTCTGCTGTATTTTCACTATAATTTACAGTTCTTCCGACTCCCATATTGTAACTGGCAAGTGAAAGGAGGAGCTGAAGATGGATGAGCTACTCCCTCTGCTCTCACCTCCTATAGCATGTTTTATGCACGGCAACAAACCTGATTGGCTCCTGGTGCTGCTTCTCCTTCCCCCCTCCCTGAGCTTTGCTGCATAGATTGGATGGTAGATCCCAAAAGGCTGATACCAAGTCAAATTCAGGTACTTGTATTACATAAATGCAAAGATTTAAAAAAGCAACATGTGGCCCTTCCAAGATCCATACCAAACCTTTTATCCAAGCTAGGCATCTGATATGGTTTTTAGGGGGAACCCATGCAAACAAGTTGGGGTTGTTCCCTTCACATCAGAATGCCCCTTCAGATCAGGAGCCCCCTTTCACACTAGGAGCCCCTCTTCACATCAGGAGTCCCCCCCCCCCCTTAAATCAGGAGCTCTCGTTCATGCTAGGAACCCCCGTTCACATCAGAAGACCCCCCTTGACTTCAGAATTCCCCCTTCACACCAGAATCCCCCTTTCACATCACATCTTCACATAAAAGCTCCCTTTTCACATCAGGAATCCCCTTTCACACTAGGAACCCCTTTCACATCAGAAGCTTCCCATTTCAGAAGATTCCCCTTCTCATTTAAATCAGGAGCCCTCCCCTCTTGCACACTAGGAACCCTCCTTCACATCAAAAATTCCCAATTCACATCAGGGTCCTATCATCACATGAGGAGCTGCGGCAGCATGGCAGAGGGTGGGAGGTAGAGCAGGCCTGGATGAAGTTGACCTGCTGTCCATTTCTTAATGGATCTCACTCTCCCCGGATTAGTAATATTCATTTCCATGGTGCTGGCCCACCTGCACCATGGAAAAACATGACACTGTGTAAAAATTTCGAGGCACCCTGATTGAGCAAGGCTCTGCTATACAATCTGATTGTACAATCTCTGTTGAAATGACCCACAAATATGTAGAATGAGGACAAACCTAAACAATCCATTGTACCGTGCAGACTCTTGAACTACATAGTTGATGGTATAAAAAAAAATGAGATTGTGCAGCTTTAACCCCCCCAGCGGTGCTCGGGCCTTGCTTAAACACAACGAAGTCTGGGTTCTAGGGAGGCACAAATGTAAGGGCCAGGATTTACCTTAAGGCCTTATTTACTCCGCCGCCCGCTTCTCACAGGGCGGTAGTGGCTGCTACGGTAGTGCTGTTTTTTTGGATCCCAAGGAAGCTTCTTTTTTTTTCCAATGAACTAATACATTTTTTGCCATGCTGGAAAGCATAGGGGCCACACAATGTATACAGCTGCAATGCTAAATGCAGTGGGCGGCTGAGGAGCAGTAACACGGCAGATTAACCGCCCCTCTAAACGAGGCCCAAAAGATTGCATCACATCAAGCAGCAGGGAAAGAGATGCAAAGCACACTGGGAATCCAGGAAGTTGGTGAAAGTGACAGAAGGCAGCACTCATAACTTATAGGGGTAAGCTTTGATAACATTATAAAAAACAACTCTAGTATGTATTCCTATTACAATGCTGATGTTATAACAGGATAGGATATGCTGGGACTTTACAACTCCTTTTTAAAGTTGCACGTACACAGATTTGTAAATAAACCACATGGGTGCCTGGGGGCCATACACTTAAAATTGGGCCATATTGCCCCCCTAGAAGTCACAGGTGCTGCATACCAGCCCTAGACATCAATGACTGTACGAGGCTGTGCGGCGGGTATATGGTGGTATTTTTGTAAGCTTGTGCATGTGCATGAACATTTCCCTGTATTTGTGGCATTCGTTAGTACAGATGCATGAGTTTACAAAAGTTCCAGCACATACCCGCCATTGGCGTCTGTGAGGAGCTGTACGCAGCAGCTTTGGCTTCCTGGGTGGAAATTTTACGGGTACAAGCCTCATGCACACGGGCCTAATAAGACAAGAGAAGGCCTCTCCTTAGATTGGACACCCGCTGGAGAATAAAGGAAAACCCTCCTCTCAACTAAGGTCTTATCACACCATGACACATCACTTTGTCGTCTGGTCTGGGACAAAGAAAAAGCAAGTAGGATGTTCCTCCAAGAGAGGTCTGCTTTTATCTGCTCATGTACAAACATGTGCCCCTGCCTGGGGACCAAAGCTGATTTGCTTAGCAGGCCCATAGCTGAGAATTCTCCAACCATCAGAAGGGCTCAGACCCCTTAGAGTGGTGGGCCCTAACTAATTGTTAATGTGGCCCTGTATGACTGCTACATTAGTGGAATATTAGCATGGGATTTAAAAAAAAAAACACAGTAGACCTTCGCAATCCAGCAAATGCCTAAGCAGCCTCACAGCTTACTACACAAGCTGAGGTCTATGGGCATATATGAAATGGTTTGTATATGGATAGAGAACTGGCTACAGGGGCGTGTCCAGAGATTATCAATAAATGGCAGCTTTTCAGATTGGTCTAGGCCGGGTCATGAGTGGTGTGTCCCAGGTTTCTGTGCTAGGCCCCATACTATTCAACCTGTTTATTAACGATATTGGGGAGGACGTAAATAGTCACGCCTATGTGTTTGCAGATGATACTAAAATTAGGAGGGTAATAGACACGGACTTAGACACTATAACATTACAGAAGGACCTTGATAAAATAGGGGAGTGGGCAACTACATGGCAGATGAGGTTTAATGTCGATAAATGTAAAGTAATGCACTTTGGGGTTAAAAATAGGCAAACGGAATACACATTAATGGGTAGTCCTCTAGGGTCAGAAATGGAAAAAGATCTGGGGGTCATAATAGACCACAGATTGAATAATAGCTTGCAATGCCAGGCTGCAGTAAACAAAGCGAGCAGAGTTCTGTCTTGTATTAAAAAGGGACTTCTTCACAGTTCGAGCGGTTAGGGTTTGGAACTCGCTGCCGCAGAAAGTGATTTCAGCTGCGAATATTGAATCTTTCAAAAAGCACTTGGACGATTTCCTCAGACATTATTACATTCAGAGGTACAGGTACTGTTAAGAACGAGAACACGCGGGGACTCATAAACACGCATACACATCCAGAGTCAAATGCATACACCCAATGGGTTGAACTTTATGGACCTGTGTCTTTATTGAACCTCAAATATGTAAGTAACTGATGAGATCACTCCATAAAAACAACTTTATTATTAGTCTCCATCCATGCTGCACAGGCCCAATACTCTGCCCACTCTACATGGTCTTAGTCGTGGAGGTACACTGAGTATTTACGTGGGAAACATTCATTATAGCACAGTGTTTTGCAGTTTGATTATGATGGTTATGTCTTTTTTACTTTATTTACAACTGTTTGTATGGGTACATTTTACAATTGTTGGTTTAGCAGTTAATTGTATGTTTATCTTTTCAGGATCTGCCTCCCTACTTGTGTCAACTAGATGTGACATTTGAAAAAGGTAATGCCATAATTTTCAAGTGGCAAAGAAAATGGTCTGTACTACATTTGCACACATTTTTAGTCTATATTCAGTGGATACCGATAAGTCTAGTTTGTAATATGAAATTTACCTTGAATGTGTGTATGTCTCTTTGTAATGCATGACACTGTACAGCATATGAGTTGTCTGATTACAAACATTGTGTTAGCCCAGCACAGTTTTATCCTGCCCGGTTATTAGCCCAGATAGTTTTACTCTGCCCAGTTATTAGCCCAGATAGTTTTATTCTGCCTGGTTATTAGCCCAGATAGTTTTATTCTGCCCGGCTATTAGCCCAGATGGTTTTATGCTGCTCGATTATTAGCCCAGATAATGTTATCCTGCCTGGTTATTAGCCCAGATAATGTTTTTCCTGCCTGTTTATTAGCCCAGATAGTTTTATCCTGCCTGTTTACCAACCCAGATAGTTTTATCCAGCCCGGTTATTAGCCCAGATAGTTTTATCCTGCCTGGTTATTAGCCCAGATAATGTTATCCTGCCCGGTTATTAGCCCAGATAGTTTTATCCTGCCTGGTTATTAGCCCAGATAATGTTATCCTGCTTGGTTATTAGCCCAGATAATGTTATCCTGCTTGGTTATTAGCCCAGATAATGTTATCCTGCCTGGTTATTAGCCCAGATAATGTTAGCCTGCCTAGTTATTAGCCCATATAGTTTCATCCTGACTGGTTATTAGCCAGATAGTTTCATTCTGCCTGGTTATTAGCCCAGATAATGTTATCCTGCCTGGTTATTAGCTCAGATAGTTGACTCCTGCCTGGTTTTTGGACCAGATCGTGGCAGGATAAAGCAATGCAGGCAACTAGATCAGGTCAGTTGTTCAATATCATTGCAATTTTTGCAGCATGGATGGCCACCCTTAGTTCACCTGCCATTCATGTAGCCTCACCCTTAATTGATTATCCTACATGTGCCAGATGCCTCACAGAGCTGAATATTACAGTTTTTATTAGCTCAGGTCTTGCAATGAGCTCATTTATTTGCATAATAATTAGGGATGCACCGATATAGTTTTCTTTTTCAGTATCGAGTACGAGCACTGATATATTTTTTTTAGGTACTTGCCGGTACTGATACCGGTGGCGTGTGCCCTGATTATCAGCAAAACAGGTATCCTGATTGCCTGGGAAGCCGGTTTTCTATCGAAAGAACATTGGCTTCACTTCCCGAGGCTGCCTGACTTCCTGACCATTTAGGAAGCCGGTCGTTGGGTCATGAGGTGCCGTCCGGCTTTCTGATTGGTCAGGAAGCCAGACTGCCTAGCAACAAGTGAAGTCGGCTTCCTAGCCAATCAAAAAGCCAGGAGGCGGGTCGCCCAAATACTCGGTATCGGCACCTCCTAGCTTCCTGATTGGCTAGGAAGCAGGCTTCACTTGTTGCCTGGCTTTCTGACCAATCAGGAAGCCGGATGGCACCTTATGACCCATCGGTCAGGAAGCCAGGCAGCCTTTGGAAGTGAAGGTTTGATAGAACACCGGCTTCCTGATAGTCGGTATCGGTACTCGGTATCGGCGAGTTCAGGGGGAAAAAATATAGGTACTCGATACCGAAAAAGTGCTGAGTATATGCTCATGATAATCTGAGGAATGTGGCATCCTGGGAACTCCTTACAGTAAAGCTGCTATTTAAAATCAGAAGGTGTTGTTTAAGTATTAGGACAGTGGTGGAAACTCCGGCCCTCCAGCTGAGATGAAACTACAAATCCCATGATGCATTTGTGCAGACAGTTTTATCCGTGTAGCCTTTAAGTGACTTATCTTCTATCTATTGTAAAAAATGCATTTCAAATGACACCCACAAATGTACCATGTGTGGTGTTTGTACTAAATCTGTTGATAACTGACTTACATTTCCCTGGTAATAAGCAATCGCAAACTCTTTCCTCAGATTGTTGCTGTGATGGTGGAGAAGACAAGCAAATCCCTCTGCTGAAAGATGTATTTGAAGAATTTCCAGAAACTCCCATCAACATAGACATCAAAGTGAATAATGATGCTCTTGTGAAAAAGGTATCTGAACAGAACACAACCAAGATACAGTAGATAGGTGGACGTATGATATTCTGAACATTGTCAAGGGTGTTGGAAAGGCTTGTGGATTTTCCTTCCTGTGTTTTTCTGCACAGTTAGAGAACAAGCACTTGTATCTTATAAATAGTTCGTAAGCAGTATCCTCTGTTGCCTCCTATCTCATCTTCGAGAGAGATTTCACATGTGAGAGTTTGCGTCTATTGATACTGCGCTTCTTCCTCAGCGGAGACATCCCAATTCAACTGGGGATATTAATTTATAGTTCCATTCAACACATGTTGTACTTTACTATTCTTAGCAGTTATACGAGTGCAGTCTGTTTACTGACCTTGTGTTTTTCTGGCTGCACGTTTGCTGTTTATGAGTCTTTTGTTGGGGTTAATTAATAGGAAGAGGCATTGACAATGATAAAATGTAAATGCCTGTAAAGCCATTTGTAAAGGGTTGGTGTCACATGAAAAAAAAATCAACCCTGCTGCAATATATTATTTGAATCATCATATTTGTTGTTATGTATAACCTGCTGATTTTCTCTAAATTCTAAGTAGATCTTTACATAAATTACAACCCATTATGATGTCATAATATGTCCCAAAAAATAAAACCTCTTTGAAGTAAAGGTGAAGATTTGCTATGTTATAAGCAGGGGTGTCCCTAGATTTTTTTTTTCCATGGGTGGGGGCTGGGGTTGCTGGGCAGCTCTGTATGAGTTTGCTTTGGTGCTTTGTGGGGGGGCCCAAAGGGATGAAAGCCTAGGATGGCCCTGGTTATAGGGAACACTTAGAAATCTTGATCTCACCAAAGCAGCATCCTGAAAAATGAATCTTCTATGTTGAATTCCTCCTAAAAATAGCAGTGCACATACTGGTATGTGAGTGTGTTTAAGCACTCATGAGCCTATATTGTGGTATATCTGCAGTGTGAGATCTAAGGTACTGCAGCCTCTAAATGCTAGTTTAAGAGATTTGTAGTAATATTTGGTTGTTACTACTATGCTGATCACTGTTCTACTTGGTGGCGGCTTTGGAGAAGACAAAGCCCTACCTTTACCAAGATGACCATGTACACATTGAGACACAGTGCAGAACAAGGCATGGTAAGTCAGTAATAACAGCTGTAGGAAGCAATGCTTAAATCTAGTCCTCTACTTGTCTTTTGGGCACGGCTTACAAAATTCAGTCCCTCTTTAAGTAATCCTTTGGGACTTAGACAAGGTTTGATGACCCCAGTTTCCACAACATAATTTACTTGCACTTGTGCCATCAAAAATTATCATAAAAATATAAAATATAGCTTCAGTATGTTGTAAGCATCATTATTATAATAACTTTACCTGCATCCAACCCATGCATGGAAGATGGAATAACTTTTGGACCTGGGAGTCCATGTACTACTATGCGTATGGTAGCACTGGTTCATGATATTAGAGGCCCAATAAACAAGCAGAGTTTTTCAAGATGCTACATAAATTCTCAGTAAAGGGCAAACTAGGTGAGGCACCACTGAACCCTTTTCCATCCATTGTAGGGGCAGGGAACAGTTATAAAGGGAGGACAGGCACTCTTTTGTGCCCTATTATCCAGAGATCTTTTAGAAAGTAAACGTGGGAGGAAATGTTCCTTCTAACATGCGCTTTGTATATTCCCCAGGTGTCTGAACTGGTAAGAGAATACAAGAGAGAACACCTGACTGTGTGGGGTAACGCAGACTACGAAATTGTACAGAAGTGCCACAAAGCGGTAAGAACACAATAAACCTGGAAACACCTATTCATCTGTATCGCTGCCTCTCGACCCTTAAAAGAGAAACAGTTTAGCCTTGAATACCAGACTCTGTCCATTTTCTGCATCAATGTTAACCCTTTATCCTAAAACTGTTTACATATATGTATTTTAGTGCAATGTCTTAATAAAATTCTGCTTCCTGCAGCTTTGGTGGGGTTTCCAGAGAAGTATGTTTTGTAGGAATAGATGGTAATGCATGTAAAATGTGCATAAACCCATCTAAAACACCTCGCACATGTTACGGTTGGACTGTACAATCTCCTATGTAGTACAAGGAACTGCCTAATTGCATACAAATTGATTGGATAGTTTACATAGATCCTAATATTACATAGAAAATCTGAGGGTGACTTACAAAGACTGTCATGTGACCCATCTACTGGACAATCTGGTGTTATGCGCTATCCAAAGCTATGCAGATGTCAGATTAGGGAAGAGGTGATATGATCCAGTCCTGAAAGCCTGCTGTAGTGTATGTTTTCCCACGTTTAGGTTACTGATTTGTATTGAGATTGTAGTCCATCACAGGAGTGGGCTCGGAGCGTCGGCTACTTTACAGCAGTGACGTGCCGTGCCTTCTGTGCTGGGTGATGCATCCCCTAGCTCACGAGGCTCCGCCTCCGTCCCACCAAAGATTAGCCCCCAGCTCGGTAACCAAGCTGTGTGGGGAGGAGATAGGGAGGAGCCTCCCTGTCCATCACTTGCTCGTCACTGGTGAGGCATCGAGATCGATGTCCTCACTGTTTGTTTTGTGTGTTTTTTTTTTTTTATTGGACAGCTTGGACCTATGGGGCTTTGCTATTGGTCCAAGCCATCCACAGAGGTCACGCCTCTAACACAGAGTATACTCTGTGACAGCTCTTGCCCCACCAAGTTAGGTTACACAGGCAGTGGGGAAAGCCGCTGCTGTGTAACCTAACTACCTTGCAAAAGCTGGATGTAATTAACAGGCAGCGCTCAGTCCATGTCAGGTTACATAGCGAGGAGGATTTCCCTGCTGTGTAAACTCATAGAAGCCAATCTGAATGGACAAAAAGCTGTCGGCTTCAGACTTGAAGCTGACACCTTTTTTCTTCATAATACTAGGTGAGGCTCTGCCTCCCCTCACCACACGTCCCTGCTTTACAGGCACCACACAGGGACCATGGGGAAGAAAAGTAGTCACCCTCCAGAAGGAAGGACAGTGTCAGCACCGATTCCGAGATGATATGAGGATCTACAGCTGAGTGATACACACATAAGATACATTTGTGTTAATAGTTAAGGGACTTGAACGCATTTTTAACATTTAACTCCTGAGTTTAGTGTCACTTTAAAGGCCCAACGAGTGCAAAGTAAAAAAAACTGTCCAAATTCCCTGAGTGCAACCAACCAGATTTATACTTTAATTTCTTAACTACCTTTTTATCATACCTTTGAATCTGATTGGCCATCACAGAGAGTTTGAACACTGTTAATATAAGGTTGATAAAAAGACATGGGGAAACTTTATGAAAACTGGAGCAGACAGAATCTGGAGATGTTGCCCAAAGTAACCAATCAGCTTCTCTCTTCAGTTTGTTCAGTTTGTTTCAAAGTGAAAGAGAGAAGCAGATTGGTTGCCGTGTGTAGCTGCTCCTGATTCTGTGCACTTCAGTTTTGAAATTGGCCTTATTGCAGTTCCAAATGCCAGTTTGCTTCTAAGTCTCAGGAGTGTCAGAGTTTGCAGAGTAGAATATTTGGTAATTGTACGCATAATATATAAAATCCTTTTATCAAGAGTTGACTTACTATCCACAGCTCCCATGTTCTTGCTCTTAATAGGTTTGATGCTTTTAGAGGATGATTTCATAAAGAGTATGAGATCCAGGACAGCTTAGCTGTTTACTCCAAACACCCATCCATGACAAGGATATTAAAACATTCTCCTAGCCCAGGGGTAGGCAACCTTGGCTCTCCAGCTGTGCGGAAACTACAAATCCCATAAGGCATTGCAAGCTACAGGCATGACTCCCAGAGGCAGAAGCATGATGGGATTATTAGTTTCAGCACAGCTGGAGAGCCAATGTTGCCTAGCCCTGCCCTAGCCAGAAGAGAACAGTCTTTTACTCAGCAAAAAAATCATATTCCCTTTAGTAAATAACCTTTCCTCAGTGTCTCATTTTTATGATCACACAGTTTTAGTATAAACAAACGCGACTCCACTGCTATAAAGTAACATTAACTCTCAATGTTTCTGTCAATTGTGAATCCAGATCAAACAAATATACCTATCCCAGTAAAGTATTTCTTTCTTTTTTCCCCAAGCACTTACATTCATCACATTTCCAAACAGCTGCCTCTCTTTCAGCTCGGCTTCCCTGAACTTCCTGTCCAGTACACGATCACAAGGGACAGATCAGTCTCCAACAGCTCTCCATCTACTAGCTTCTAGAAGAGAGGAGGGAGAAGGGGGTGTAGGTTGCCTTCCCTGCTGTACCTGTGTGTTTGTGGAGATGCACACAGCTAACTAGCACACACAAGGGTAGCTCCATAGGACCCTAGAAGCCACCCTAAAGCAGGATATCGGGGCCAGTGCTCAGGGGACTAGTGGATTCTGCAGGAAACAAAAACTTTTAAACATCATGGAGCAGCATTCAGTGTCATTGATGTGTTCAGCGTTTTAAATAACTTTTACTTGTGATGTTAATATCACTTTAACTTAACATTAAGTGTTTTTGTTACTCTTCCAGAACTGTGACATCCCGCTGCTGTTTTGCTTCCAACGTGTCCTGCTGCTGGTGGGGTTATTCTATACAGGACTCCTGCCCTTCGTTCCACTCCGGGAACAGTTTCTAGAGGTCCCCATGCCTTCTATAATCATGAAGTATGGAATGCAGCTATATTTTACTTTCTTACTTACCCAAACATCTAATAACCTGGTTCATACAACGCTTTCCTTTGTTGTTGGGAAAGGGGAATGGTCATTAAAAAGCACCGGTGCTGTGGCAGTAAGGCTTTATACACTCCAGGCAATCTGGCTTTCCTGTGGCATGAACCTATGGAATCTTGCGGCAGTAATACCAGATGTCCCTGTCCAGATGTGGCTGCCGAACCCATTTCAGGTAATGACTGGGTGACAGTGGCCACATCTGTAAGCTTGGAATAGATCCTTGGTTCTCAACTGGTGGGTCGAAACCCAAAAGTGGGTCACGACCCTGTGTTCAGTGGGTCCCTGTGTGCATTCCACTTTTCTAGGTGAGAGGCTCCTCAGCCTCCTGCTAGCGCAGCACTGTCAGTTCTTGTGCCAAGCAGCCATTCAAAATATGCTGCCCAGCACCAAGTTTCAGCTTGGGGTGGGGTGGGCTCCAGCCATATGTGTATTGCTTACAGCTCCCTCGCATGTCCTGTAGAGGAGCCTGGACCGGTGCGATGTAACATTCTGGCTCTCGGCACCTCTACAGGGTGTGCAAGGGAGCTGTACAAACAATGCACATATGGATGGAGCTCCATCACAGTACAGCAGCCCACACCGGACCCCAGGCTGAGGATCAACTGCAGTTCTCATAAGGTCGGTTGACTGGGTGGATCTTTTTTGGAGTGTGTGTGAGATTGTGTCTGTGGTTGCGTGTTTTTGAGGGCCCATTCACACTAGTACAGTGCGTTAATTGCACAGTCCCATGCGATTAACGCACTGTACTTCGCAATCGCACCTACCACGCATTTTGGTGTGAGAAGTGCATTGCATTGCCATTCATTTGAATGGCACCCCAAATGCACCTCCCACCAACAGTTCTATTGCCCGCATCGGAACGCACAGTACCGCAATGCCGTGGGTTCCTCCATTGCAGTGCAACTTGGGTCACGACTTAATGACCAAGGACAAATGTGGGTCCTGAGGTTACATAGGTTGAGAACCACTGGAATAGATGATGCTGGATACATCCATTCTGCCACTGTCACCTGGCCATTCATTTCAATGGGTACAGCTTCTGTATCTGAATAGGGACACCTGGCATTCCTGCCACAGAGATCCATAGTTTTGCCTTTTCTGTAGTGACGGAAGGTACATTATAGTCTGCCTCAGCTTTAGTTCAGCTCCTCAGAATATCAATTCAATAAAACCTGAAATGTTATCTTGTGCAGTAAAGGCTACAGCCAAAACATTTGATTTCTGTTTTTGTATAGAGCAGAGAAGCTTAGAGCCTCCATCAGGGCTTTATTGCTCTATGTCTGTATTGGAAGGATTTGCCTTCACTTTCTGTCAGGAAAGGAAGTGGCTGCAATTCTCTCCAACAGGGACACACACAATACCAAAACTACATATTTAGTAAAATGAAACTGGATTAGATCTTCTGACAATGTGTTTATTGCTGTTCGTGCTTTCCTGTCCCAGTGACACCCCCACCTCCTATATCTTGTACGGACGTCACAAAGTCAGGAAGCCAGAGGAAATAGCCTCAGTGAGGACACAGACAGCAATAAAACTTTGATAGAAGTTCTGACTCTTACTCTGTATATTAGAAAACATTTGCTAGAGTTGGACTTTAAATAAACCTGCCATGAGATAAATACCAAAGTTATCATGACTAATTTCCTTCCCAAAATGCTAGTTGCTTGGCCATTGACTAATCCAATGGGGCTATGAGATCATAAGTCTTCATTTTAGGATGTGATTGAGAATGGGAATGTGATGGGGATAGGTTATATACAGTAACTGTGTGTATTGGGACTTGTAGCATTGTGCTATTGCTTCATAAGTGCATTGTTTTGTTTGTTTGGAATCTTTTATGCATCCAATATAGCGTGAGCTTCCCATACTGTTGAGGGTGTTTCAGATTCTGTAGTATAGGTAGAGCAATAAGATGCAAGGGCTTGGGTTACCACATTATAGATGGTTGGTTTTTTGAGGAGTGAGTCATTTAGGAGCCATGTCCAGGATATGGTGGTGGAACGGAGTTGGAACGATACCGGGGCATGATCAAAGATGGTTATAGATCGCTTGGTGGAGAGAGGGTGATAGCCAATCTGAGATATTTGTTGGTTCAATGTCTAGTTGGAGTACCAACAGGAAGTCCTTCATAGTGGGAATGGTGCAGGATATTGCTCTCTTGTGAACATGGAGCTGAAATGGAGAGTGCCAGTGGTAGACAGCCTCATGTTGGTGTAGGAGATCCACTAGGGGTTTCATTGCCCTTCAACAGAGTAGGGTAATACGGGCCAGATCCGTGATGAACTGTAGGTCTACTCCATCAAAACTCAGATGGCTGCATAAAGGATTGGCTTCCTTGCCTTGATAATAGTGGATGTGGTTAATCACATTTCGTGGGAATTGCTTGGAGGACATAGAACTCTATGGGCTTGATCAATGCAGACCTCCTGGTCAGGAAGTTTGTCTAGCAGCGTGTTGAAAATGCCTTGCAGTGGCTTCTGGCAGCACACATATGCGATATTATTCTGTCTATTCCGGATCTCCGGATCTTAGAGCTGTAAACTATTGACAACATTGATGGTGTTTTCATTGTCTAAAAGTTTGCATACCTTTCAGATCTGTGTTCATCAATCTTGTTTTCATCCTCCTATACCCTCAGAAGTTCGGTAGTGCAGGCTGTTTCAATTCTCTCAGCCAGAGAAGCAATGTTGCCTCATTTTGGGAGGTTTCTTATGTAGTACCATAAATCCATATTCCACGTGGAAAGGCGTTGTCACTCTGGGTTGCTCTATACAGCATGTTCTGTGTTGTATTCAAGCAATGCAGGAGTACCAGAAACCCCATATTATATTCAATGTCTAAGCAAAGTTAGGCTGTAAAGAGATGCCCACTGAATTACACAACTGACCTATTAATACTTTTTTCTAGTGTCTTACTAACTTATAAATGATGTGTTATGCATTCCCTGCAGACTTAAAGATCCCTCCAAAATGAGCAGAAGTCACAAATTTGTTGTATGGCTTGCAGATGCGTAAGTAGGACTTATTTGTATTAAAGAATACATTTGTATTATTTATGTTTTTTTATGCAGTGCCTAGTTGTTAACCTCAGAGTACCTGACATCTAGGAAAATGCACAGATATCTGCGATATTAGAATGCCAGATTTCCATCCTTCACAAACAGTCCAAATATAAAAAGAAATCAACATAAGTCCACTCCCAGAAAAGGCCATTAGAGGCTCTGGTACTTTTAAAGGCCGTAGTTGTGGATAGAGTAGAGAACGGGGAGAACCTTCGCTGGGTTTTAAATGCTGTCTTAGTCCTTCCTGACCAGGAAGGATAGATCAGACACCCATAACCAGCACAGGAAGTAAGGGGAAATCGCCCCAATGGGGACACATACAGCAACCCGACAGAGGATCTAACTCTTCCACAGTCTACTGGAAATCAACCTATTGTCATCTGTGGCTCTGTTTAAGAAAGCATGTCCCCGCTCACTTGCTAATATGTGGACACCTTTTAAATAGGAAGTGATGTAGAAATCTCTCAAATAGGGATGTGAACATCAAGAACAAAGTTGACAGCGGTTCTTCTAACCCAGTGGTGGCGAACCTTGGCAGTCCAGCTGTTTTGGAACTACAAGTCCCATGAGGCATTGCAAGGCTCTAACAGCCACAGACATAACTCCCAGAGCCAGATGCATGTTGGGATTTGTAGTTTTGGCACATCTGGAGTGCCAAGGTTCGCCACCACTGTTCTAACCCTTCTCCCACTAAACAATCAAAGTATGGAGTTGGGTTTTAATCATTTAAAAAAAAAGCCATTTATTTTTGTGTAAAAGGTACAGTTATCACTAATCCCTGCTGTACTGCATGCTAGACTACAATGCTTAAAATGAACCTGGCAGCCATTATAAAAGTTTTAAAGTAAATATCCTCCTCAAGGTTAATGACCAGTTCCTGAGGGAGCCTACTAAGAGACACAGGCTTTACTGTAACCATAATTTGCTATTTACATAGGCACTTGCTATTTGACAGGGCTTCCCCAGCATTCAGCATCCACATTTTGGTGTGTTTTAGTGTGCTTTGGGTTATGACCGGTTGCTCTAATTAATGTGCAGTTATATACTGAATATAATTTTGGTTTTGAGTGGTCAGAATACAATTCATTTGTTTCTATTGATTACTACTCTACACACATTTCTTTATCAAACTGTACCTTTTGCCAACCAGGGCAAGTGAGCTTACTGCCAGTAAAGTTTAGGGCTGATTTTCATGAATAAGTCTCATAGTTTTGCCACAGTGATAACAGGTTCTCTAGTGGTGACCTGAAGGGACACATTACAATCAGACGTGAAACAGCGCAAGCAATCAGCATTGACATTAACATTCTTTCAGTTTACCAGTGATGTCCATGTCATGGATATAGCTATGCCCCTGTCATGAATATAGCCGTGCCCTTAGGAATAGTCATGTCTAGGAAGCCTAAGTTGAGAAATACAGAAACGTAGGTTCTGTCGTTTTATAAATGAACCCCTATACTTATAAATGAACCCCGATAGGGTCGCATGGCACTGGTATCCCTAGATGGTGCTGATGAATATAGGTATTTCCTATACACTATGAACGCCTATAGTGTTACTGTAAAGAAACATATTCTGGGTAATGCTAAAAGCCTCCATTACTGTGTTACTCATACTGTACATAATAGAAACCCTGCTAGATATCATTTCTGTTTATACTGAAACCATCAGGTTTTTTATTTTCTGTTCTCTTCCAGCTTATTAATGAGAAAATCTCTGTTTGAGCACTTGAAAGCCAGAGGAATTCAGGTAAGAACTGTTGATTTCACACGGCACAGTACAAGACCATGCTCTGAGTGCTGCCACTTGTAAAGTCTTTATGCTAGGAAATAGTTTCCTAAAATAGTGACCACAACTCTACCAGGAAAGGAGCTGGCATGTTTTCATATTCAAAAGGGACAAAAGATATTCTATTAAACAGAGGTCCTACTGTTATATAGAGGTTGGATGGAAGCGATAAGTACATGGGGGCTCTTGGGGGGGGGGGGGGGGAGAAAGAGATGTAAATTTTAGGCGA